ATGAAGTGAGTAAATACAGACTTACCACGGTGCCATCCCACCCCAATCCTGTTACCTCATTCCAAGTTAATTTCTACTGCTGCAGGGACAGTGGGTGGATGGGTGCTGCTATGAGAGAGGGCTGTGTTATTTGTTTTCAGGTAAAGAAAAAAAAAAAGGAGACCAAGCGGTTGATGTACTTACTAATGGCTGGGGCTATTCCACCTACTGATCCTGGTCCAGGGATGTTTCCGGCTACTGCTGCAGCTTGAGCAGCAGCAGCAGCTTGGGCAGTGGCAGCCTGCTGTTGCATCTGACGATGACATTGGCGTAAATCAAACACCTTTAAAAAAAAAAAAAATAAAAATCAAACTATGTAGACTTACCAAAATCAATGAAGGAAAGAATTCCTCAATTCCCGTCCCCAATAATCTGGACCCCTCTGCCCTCCCAAAGCAACTTCTACAGTCTCACCATACACTTGGGTAAAAGCAAACCTTCCCTGATTAATTTCTAACAGAAATAATCAATTTAAAGCTGATTCTTAAGAGACTCTTCTCACGCGACATTACCACCACTGGCAATACCAGAACCTGGCTGAGCTGAGCAGGTTAAAGAAGTACCCTGTGCGGAACTGATCACAGGATCAAAGTCTGAAGGATGCTACAAGCTGATAAAATCCCAACTTTAAGTTAAATCCCAGGATTTCCAGAAAATAGGCATATAAATAAAAATGGAAGCCAACAAGTGCCGCTTAACTTTGTCAGACTTAATTCTTCTTCGCTGCTTTACTGAAATGTGTTAGTCTATTTAAAAGAAATACCAATAATTGATAGGCCTGAAGTTTCAGCAGCTAGGTTTCTGGCAAGTTAGTGGCACTTTATATTTTTGTGATCAGGTTTGACGCTAATATATTCAGGAACTCTGTTCTCATACTAGAAAGCTCCTACATGGTGGGGTTTCTTTCACCTTCATTACACAACCTGTCTGCAAAACTGAGAATTAAGAAAGGAAAAAGAAAAAAAAAAAAATCACTGCAAACTTGAGGCAGTTCATCTCAAATTCAAGAATGATTTTTTTTTTTTTTCAAGTGTGACTTGTCCTAAATAAAGTTTTCAGTCTGGCACAGGCATGTCCAAGTAAGAATCTCCTGAAAAGAATTTGTTTCCATGCAACTTTCTGTGACCTCTGGATCACTTCATGTTCACAACACTTTAACACACACTTTACACTCCTACTGCATTTATACAGATATTCCCAACTTTTCTTGTTTCGGAGAGAGAGAGTAAAGAAACAGATAAACTATGCTAAAAATTTTAGTAGCAGTTCATTTAAAACTCTTAAGATTAAAAATACAAAAACCTGCTATCAAGATTGTTTGTAACAAAACCCCAAATTAGTTACTTTTGTAGTACCTCGATGATACTTTCAGTTTAGAAGATTTTAGGTTTCTTTAAAGACTAATCAAAAGCAAAGTTACATTTACTTCAGTGCCTTGTAGCTTCCCTAACATTTAAAAGAACCAAATGTATCTTATTTCCCCCACAATTTTCATCTGGGAACATCAAACCAACCTTTATATATGCACTCGGGTAAATCTTGTGAACAGCATCCCCTGGTGCACGCCCTGCTTCTCTATCCAGATAGTAACTCTGAACGAAGACCGCGTGGTCGCTGAGGCATCTAACCCACACGTCACCTTCTCCTTTGCACTCCAACTGCACCCCTTTACCTATGTGCAACCTTAAAAAGAAAAACAGTTCCAATGCACCTGTGTATACATACTATAAACCGGGACTTTTGCTAAATAAACCATAAACAGTTCTCCAGCTCTCGGTCTGTGATACCTTAATTTACACTCCACTCATACAGGGACTTGAAATTGTAGTTGTTATCTCTAGGTATAAGTCGGTATACAGTTACACAAAATCTGTAAAGTCAAACCATGTAAAGATCTATGGGAAACAACGTAGAAGCGATGATATTCAAATACAATTTAACGCGCTCACTGACAATACAGAGCTGGGGTATGAAACACAGTCAGTTCTCTTCAGAAGTGTTAAAATCCCACAAGTATTCTAGTATAGAAAGTCACTCAAGTACATATACAAAACCACATTTTAATGCAGAACTCCACGTTCATTTGGATCACATTACAGCAATCTAGCATTCTGACCGTCATAACGCAACGTTTCTGAAGGCACAGAAAACATTTGATTCCTTTTCGTTTCAAAGAAGAAAAAAAGTTGCAAGATTGCTTCAGTCCTCTCTGCTTCCACATCAAAGCCTAGCACACGCATGGTGAGAATGAATGAAAATCCAACTAGCTCTCCATCAACCTTCCTTTGCTCCTTTGACAAATCTATATACTGCAGTTATTCTCACATCACTCTGGGGTGTGGAGAGCTAATATTCAGCTTGCATACATAATAGCACGAGTTGCTAATTTTATCCTTGAAGGCACAGCCTTTGAAAGCAATGAAAAGCAACGTGCTATCGCAAAGCACTGAAGGTCTTTGTCACGCAGTTTGCATTTTGAATGCGTTGCAGTAGTGGCCTAGAAAGATAGACTCTACTCTAGTTAATTCAGTTAAAAGAAACATATCATACTTCTCATTTCAAAAGGGAGGCAACACACTGAAGGCAAAACGAAACTTTATCAAATACCACAGACAGCTGGAGCTTTTGGGATGTGCAGAATACCTTGCTCTCTCAATGGCTTCTGTTCTATGCACGTTGGAAAGCTGGCCCAGGCAAAACCGGTCTCCTCCAGAAGGATCCACGTATCCATCAACAGTAACAATTGGACAGCTTGAAGGGACCTTAAATGTTTCCCCAACTTGCACGTCCATTTCAAAATATGCGATTGAACACCAATATTCTGGAGCTAAAGAACATATACAATTAACTGATTGAAAGGCACAAAACCCCCTATAAACCCGTTCCAGACAATCGATTGAGCCTTCTACAACTGCGTTTGTCATTCAGAGTAAGAGCGTACATTCGCATAAGCAAGTTCAGATAGACAAAGACGTGTCTGCTAGCACAGAAAAATACTACATCCTACAACGAACATGGGCTTATCGGGGTTTTTTTTGAGCACAAATGAATGCTAAGTTTATTTGTAGTTAAGATCTTACAAGTCTTTGTACAGCTTATAATTCCAGTTAGATTTTGTATTTCCTGCACCTTATGACTAGAGATTGATTTTGTCCTCCTTTAGTATAAAGGAGTAATAAACATATGTCTATTCATGGCTAGGCTGATAGAAACTAATTCTCAAACAGATCTGGCTTAAGATATAAGAGTAACTATCTCCTAGGTGAAGTTTTCTCTGTCCTCCTTGCAAAGCAAACCAGATTTGGAAAGCAGGGCAACAGGGGAAAAACCTCGAAGATCCCATACTGCACGTAAGAAAGTCAGGTATGGGATAACACAACGAAGTATTAAGAAAGGGAGCAGAACAAAATGGCATGTTTTAATAGCAAGGAGGTGCGTTTTAACTCATACTATTTTAAAAAGAAAAACCGGTTACAAAGGAAAGATGGTACTTGGAAGAAGCTACCACACGAGGAAAGGAAACCCTGACTGCCTAGAGGATGTTACTGAAACCCAAACACTCAAGCAAGGAAACGTGGCAAAGCACACAAAGTGATTTTGTACTGTTGTACAAAAAAAAAAGTGTATCTGTTGCTTGTGTGCTACCTGGGAACAAGTGGCTTGTCAAGCTTTCTGCACGGTTTGTTGTGCGTGCTTTCAGCGTTCAGAGTTTCTCTCTTCAGGCACATTAAAACCTGAAGTTGCCATAAGGTTACGTCATTGGGGATTTTGGGGACTCAGCACCTTCGCTGAGTTAACAGAGCTGGCACTTAAGCAGCTTCTTTGGTAGGGCAAAGAAAATCAGCACTACGGCGTACTCAAAACAGGGGAACCAGAAGAGCTGACGTGATAGGACCTAAACACAGCAGCCAGATAAACCAACAGGAAAAAGACCTCCCAGTGCCGTAAGTGGTACTCGTTCATTACAAACTGCAGCACCCAACGGCACACTGACTTGTCTTGAGAAACTGGTGTTCTGTTTTTACGAGAGAAGAATAAACCAAGCTGCCTGAATTCCTTTAAGATTTTTTTAATCTTCAAATAAATACTCATGCGTCTGAGGACTGAATAGGGTGAAATCAATAGGTGAATCAATAGTGTGAAAAAGATATACTAAATAATATGAAATTTAGCTACAGTTAAGTTCAGCCAGCAATTATCAACAGTTTTATTTCTGGAACTGATTTAGTCACCGGCCAATGAGTTAAACTTTTAGGCTTTTCAACTCTGCAGGTCTCCCTGGGTAGGCAACAACTTTGCTGCTGTTAAAAACAGAATACCACCTTGCACCTGCAACGGAGCTAGCCTGTACCGCAAGCCAAGACCTCCTTGGTTCTATGAACTGCTACTGAAAGAGCATGCTTGTATGCAAACGTCCAAAGAGGAATTTCAGCGTCAAAAATCTAAGAAGGGCACTACCTATCCTTCACGGTATCTGGCTGTGATGATGGAGTTCTAGATCAAGGATCCAAGAGAGTTTTGGCGTGACCTAAACCGCATGATGTTTCTAAGCAGGTAAAAAGTACAATTGCAGGCACCCTGCCAAGTTTAGGATCGAGGACATTCAGAGTTCAGACACCTCTAGGGTAGGAACCAGCTCAGCGTGGGTTTGAGGATTGCAATTTTTGACTTGGGCATCTAAATTAAATTCAGTTCACGGTGTACATCGCTATTTCAAAACAGAGGTTTGAATTCAAGAGTAGACTATCGCAAAATAGTTCCTCTCCTCCTTTTGAATATGTATCTCACAAGTTTCAGAGTACTTGATACACACACACACACACAAAAAGTCAGACTCAAACCAGAAAGTTATTAACTTTCACAATACTTAACATTACATGTTAGATTTTACTCACCAGGATGATTTGATATAGGAGGTTGGAATGCAAGTTCATTATGAACTGGCCCTTTAAAAGAAAAAAAAAAGCAATTTGTTTTATGTGAGGAAAAATAAGGTTTTCTTTCTTAATTTATTTTCCTATGAAATAAAAAAAGACTTGTGAGGATGCCAGATGTTCTAAATCCCAGTATTTTCTGAATCAATAGGGCAAATCAGACAGGGGAGAAAAATGCCCATTGAAGAATTACACTCTTAGAGGTTTCCTAAAAAAATCAGGAGTCGAGTAGAGCAAAGAGCTCCATTACTATCCCAGGAGGAAAGGCTGCATGCAGCTCAAGCCACACTCAGCTCCAGGAGAGAGCAGAAACCAGATATAGGATGGAGATGTAATAAAAATAGAACTTCGGCTTTACACTTGCCCCTCAAGTTGGGCAAGAAGAGAATCATTGTATAGACGAGTGTGATATAAATCTGTCAAACCACTCTTCATTAGTTTCATCAATCACGCAACAAGTTGCCGAGCATGCTGTGGACTTGACCATAAGAAAACGCTCCCTGAAGGCAGAGAAAAAGCCCCAGAGAGCTCATTTTCTAAAGAAAAAAAAAAACCCGAACACAGTCTTGGTCAGTTTATTCTCTCCACTTCTATAAACTAACTAGATCCCTCCCCAGGCAGCAGAGAACAAGAAGGAAAGACTCAAACATAGTATTATAAGTAACAGCAGCTTTTGCAACAAGATGTCAAAACAGGCACAACGTTGGTAGGTGTCAAAACATGCGACTTTCTGAAGTGAGAAATGGCAGCAGCCAAGAAAAGCTCTATGTGGTATCACCAGCCAGTTACAAATATTAATTATGGAAAGATACATGCACTGAGAAACATTTATAGAGTATCCACAGCACCACTAAAGTTTTTACATCCTGAGATTTCTGAAAAATAAGTAGGGATCCTGCCAGAACAAGATAATGAAACTTAATAACCGTATCTAAACCACAACTTTCTTGGTAGAGACAGGCTGAAAAGTCATTCTAACATTAATTCTCCGTATATTCTCCCCTCCACTAACAATGATTGCTGCAAACGGGTGCTCTGGTTAAGTACTATATCAGGAAATAAAGAACTGTTCTAGCTTTTCGCCACAGAATTTAGAAAAACTTTAATTTGGGTGGGGGTTTTTTTGCACTATACTCTTACAATGCATATACTGTGCTAGACACTTAGACCAGAAGTTTGATCACTTTTTCTCTCCTTCCCATCTCCTGTACCTTAAAACAAGAGGCTGTGCTCCTTTACAAATACTTTACTGCACGAGCTTTCACAAAGTTGTTTTAAGCTGGCTAGTGTACACAGACACAGGTCTTCCAAAGCTTAACGTAGGTTGTTACATCACTAAGACATCACTTCAAAATTTCTAGAAAATAAAAACAGCCAGGAGCTTCCAAGTTTTGAAAGAAAAATATCCAAACAACACATTCTGAATCGACATCCTTTTCCGCAAAGGAACTATTTACTACAGGACTGCAGAGCTTTAAAAACAGAGGTTTAGAAAGGAAATGCTAGTTTTGCTAGGTATAGTAAGACATCTGTAATATAGATAGTATCACTACAGCTATCTGAATTTCTAATCTCTGCTGCTTTAATGGAGAAAAAGTCCATCAAGCTCTTCCATTTAACTGTCAGAGTATACTAAACACAGTGACGGTAGTTCTATAATGAAAAAAAAAAAAAGGATTTGAGGGTTAAGAATCATCACAAACGAACCCCCGCCATCCAACAAAATTGGAAACAAAGTGATTTGAAATTCTGCAATACTTACAGTAATGTCCAGGATGCATAGGCGGATGATGCTGAAGATGGCCATTCTGGTGGTGAGGTATGGTAGGTGTGTAGGCTGCCGTCCGACTTCCAGTCCAAGTTGTAGTACTATCTAGAAAAAGAAAGGAGCGGTTGGTTTTTAAGGGAGTTTTTTCCACATCTCACTTCTAATCCTCTAGTTCTCCTGAACATTTGGAAACCGGTTTTAGAAAACTAAGAAGAGTGCACGTATGTATATACTCACTGTGATGGTAAGTAGCTGGCTGAGCTGTAAACCCATTCTGCTGAGTTCCTGGCTGAGGCCCTGAAGCAATCTGTAAGAGTCCATCACTATGGCTACCTGTCAATATACTGGTAGGTTGACCTGGTAAAAGAACACACTACCTATTCATGAACGTTCCAAAATTTTAATTAAGAAGAGCTCAGCACTACTGGGTAGGAAAATACACCCAACTAAGGGCACTGCAATACACAGTTCCTACAAGTTTGGTTTCAGGTTTGGTTTTTTTCCACCCACCAGAGTGTCTTAGGAAACTTGAAGCAAGATGCTCTGCATCAGCTCATTTTGACTCTGACACCCTTAATATTTTAGGAGTAGAAGTATGCAGAGAACTCTGTTTATCAACCGCATCTTTGTTTTGTTCACATCTCATTTTCCAGTTTGAAAGGAAAGAAGAAGAGATGTCACAGGTTTTATTTAAAAACATAGCTGGAGTAGATTTGGTATCCAAACTGGCCAAAGTAGGTCCAATAAGTTGCTTATTTTCAGCATAACTACTGTTCCTAAGGAGGACACCGGCTTAAATTTACGTTCCTCCAAAACATACCAAACAGTATTTTATTTTTAAAATTAGTGCTTGAATAGAGCTGCATACATCACTGGACTCCTTCCTGAGAAAGTTGCTGTTTGGGTTTTTTTTTCTCCCAAATAAATATTTCAAGAATTGTCTAAGCTTTAAAGTAAAGCTACAGATACTTCAGAACAGGTTAACAGAATTTGATTTTAAAAGGCTTCAGCTCAGCCATTAACACTAAACTGATCAGCAGTTTCACAATTACCCTTGCACTCTCAAAATGGTGTGGCTAGCAGAATTTAACACATTGAAAACTTGAACTAAAACCTAAAAATGAGGGGGGTTTTCCTGTCCACTTGGTTCCAACAATTAAAGCACTGATGAGAAAAAGTTATTGACTATAAAATGGTGTGCAAAAGCAATACAATTAAACTGCTTATCCTTTTTTCTCGGTTGGAGACAAATACAGACATTGTATCTCAGCTTGGCAAAACCATCATTAGTTTTAACAAAAAAATTATCAGCTAAAATTAAAGAACATTATCAAAACACCATGCCACCATAATTTAAATCTGATAACACGAAATCCATTATATTCACACATCTTTGATATTAAAGTGACGAAGAGTACGTGAAACCCCTCCAAGCTTCGTGGTTTCTCTACATCGGGGCCGCAGGATGCTGCGTACATCACTGCTTTACTGTCCTGCTGGAGCGAAGCGTGAGGTTTGGTGTTGGCAAACCAGACTCTTCCACTTGTACCAAATACACACAGCAAAGTAAGAAAAACTTCAACCCAGCACTCCAACGGACTCATGAAACTATTAATTAGCGCTGTCACTTTGGTAGTACCATGGGCCATTATAAAAATCATCTGCAAGACTCATTTTGTCAGCTGTGGAACACTAAAGAATTGTGTGAAAACCTCTCCATACCGCCACCTTACAGTATATCCATTTGTTGTCCCACTTGCTGTTGTAATAAAATAATAAAGATCTTCCATTCCTACAGCAATTATTGGAATAATAGCCATAATATTTTGTCAGCAGTCAATTGTTACAACATTGTACCACTGAACCTTTGGCATATCCAAAACAGACTTGTAACACTCCTGTAGTGTCAGTCTCATTGAAAAAAAAAAAAAAAAAAAAAGAAAAAGACTGTGTCACCAGGAAAAGTTACTCAAATTATGCTCCAAGTTAAAACCTTACGTTAACACTTACGAGACCGCCTAGATCATATCACCACACACTTTTAGTGTTGCGCGGCAGCAGCACAGTTTCAATGCAAGCTCTACTTTGGCACAAATCAGCGGTTAACTTTGAGCTTTCACGTTTTCAGTTTAATATTTCATATAATCTCGATGATCTTACTTGTTGAAGCCACAGGAATGTTGGGAAAATTAGTGGTGCTGGTAGTGCTAGCTTCAGTAGGAGCTAACATGGCCGGGGTGCTATAAGGCTCTGTCGATGCCCTGTTACTTGGCGGATGCTGGATGGTTTGGACTGAATGGCCTTCGGCAGAAGACAATGACGGCTGCCCCTCGTAGTCATGAACGTATTCGTCTTTCACCAACATGCTTGATGGAGCTGCAAAGAAGCAACCGGTTAAACGCGCAAAGCAGGGCTATTTTGGGGATTTAACTACCAATTGCACTACTACTTTCAAGCAATAACAATGCCATTAAAACTACTGGGGGGAGGATTTAACCTATACAAACGTTGCTAAAGCACTCCTCTAAATTACAAATAAACACTTCAAGTCAGCAGCAGGAAATTTTGAAGCAGAACTGGGTGGAAAAGCAAACTGTTTATTTTGCTTACTGCTATCAAACAAGCAGTGTAGCCCCACAGTAGTAGACGCCAATACCGTTCTGTTTTCTAGTCCATCATTGTGTGATTGGATATGGTTAATAAAAGATAAAAACATGCTTTTTGTCAAGCACCTAAATATATATTAATGCAGTAGCTAACAAAACAATTCCTAGTATACAAGAACATACATAAAGCTCCTATGAAAAATGTAATTCATGCACACAGCATATAAAAAAAACCTTCATGCATCCCTTAAGTAATTTTAAGCAACTCCCATCCAAACTGACCAGAAATATCAAATTCACATTCAAAGACAATATAACACTACTCTGTATTTAACAATGTAGCCACTAATTCAGAATATTCTACATAAAGCGTAAGGAAATTACTACCATCACTACTACAAGAATTTATTTCTATACATCCTATTGAGCACGTTCAAGTAAAACTCTTACACTATGTTAGTTCCCATGCTCATTTTTAAAGCAGCCTTAAATATATTAAAATTTGACAGTAATTTTCTGTTTCCTGCTGCAAAAAACAGCAGCAGAACAAGGAAACACTTATGTATTTAACTGCTGACTAGTAAGCTTTGATTCGGTACAAAAGGATGATTTTTCAGAAGACGCAGGTAACAATGCAAATTAGCAGACATGAGCACACAAGTTAAAGCTTGTGAAGTTAACAGTTTGTTGGGTCATTTATTTTTTTTTAAAGCCATTTTTGATTGTATACTTCTAATAATGTGCTAAAAATATTGGATTATTCAAATTTCCTTCTCTATCAATTTCTTCTGGAAGGAAAAAAAACAAACCAGTTTGGAAATAAAGCAGTTACCAGCTGTACAATCTCAGATTTCTGAATAAAGTTCATTGGACATTTAAAGTCCAATTTCTCTCAAGTTTCAGGGAGAGCAAGAATATTAGACTGCTTCATTCAATTGCACATTAATTACAGAATTTCTATTACTTGCTTGTTAAACTACTTATTAAATCATAAGCACCTATTACTTCCAATTCAATTAATTAGTATATCATATAGGTGCACACATTTTGGGGTGTTTGGTTTTGGTTTTTTTGGTGGTTTTTTTTTATTTAGCAGCATGCAACAGAGAGGTTTTTTGTTTTCTTTTCTGTTGGGGTTTATAAGTTGCAGGCAATGAAAACAGAACCTACCTACAAGCTGAGCTGAAGCATCAATTTAAAGAATTTCGCAATACTTGCCTCTCACATGTTACTTAGCTGGTTTTCCAAACCCAGAGAGAGAAATGCATTTCCATCTGCTCTCTGTACTCCCTCCCAAGGAGATACACAGGAATAAACTGTACATACTGAAGAGCTTAACACAGCCTGTGCCCACAGAAACACAATAGTAAACAGAACTACTTACCAGAACTCTGTAGTGTCAGTCCTGAGAGATCTTTAAAAAGAAGAAAAAGAAAAGGAAGCATGAAGGTTTATATACACAGAGATCTTCAACAATGTTTGAACATTAAGTTTATAAGCCTTGACAAATTAGTACACCATAGACTCTACGTATTATACCCCCTCTGTCACAACACAAGTCTCAATGCTAAGTTACTCCTAGGATACACATTAACTGTAAGAACTGTGTGCAAAGGCAACAGAAAGGCTTAAACAAAAGTCACAAACTGTTCCTTCAAATTTGGAATAACGGTAGAAGAATAACTTCATTAAGAAGATGGACAAAAGCATATGAAAGTCATTTATAATCAGATCATTAAAAGTTAATGTTTCTAATTTAGACCTGTATTTTCTAGACTAAAAAGGAAAACATTTTACATTCTATTCCTACTGTTCCATTTTAAATCAAGAGTCTACTTACCGATGCCAGGCGATACTACACGCTCATAATGGTAAGGATTTACACAGACACTGTCACATTTTAAGTCAAAAGCATACTGACAATATTTAACATGCTTGAGTTCATTTTTATGAAGATCAGGCCACCTCCAAAGACGAGCGTAAATCACATGGGGGAATCCCTTGCGACCAGCCACCTAAAAAGTTAGACACAAAAGTTGATTGGGAAAGTAGCAAGACATTTTGCTTTACTTAGCGAGGAGCAAAGCTAGAAGAGGACAAACAACAACACAACCTCTCTCCATCATCAAAATATGACAAAAAAAAAAAGATGGTGTACAGTTTACCAAAGTTCTGTACTCAACAGAAATAAATTTCTATTAGGGTTTTGCTACGGTTAAGTCAACACTGTGATTCTTAAGAAAAAATACTGGATACAAAATGGCAGAAGCAGAATTTGTGCTTAATGTAGTATGTATGGTCACCTTCCCCACCATGGATGATGAAGGAGCTTTGCCCCAGAAGAAGAGGAACGAGGCACTAAGCTACGCTATAAGGAATTTACAAGTAGAAGAATGCCAATCCATTATACTGGAAAAAAAAAATAAATAAAAATGCTTCTAGGGTAGACAGAAAGCTAGCCAGCAAACATGACATCTGTCCTGGAACAAGGAAATCACAACCCAAGCTATACAGGTACTGAGTACTGACGATATAAGGCTAACGTAAATCCTCAGTGCAGACTCCTTGGAGTACCTTAGCAAGGGATCATAGGTCTTTCTTCACACTGCTGACCAACACAGAGCTAACAGAAGCTTGTAGTGAAAATACCAGGATAAACAGCCGAATTTGTTACGTGACCCTGCTTTTTACTGCCACACACACACTCGTTTAGAACGGCTGATCCAACGCCTTCTGCTCCTTTTGAAAAAAAAAATAATCAACTACTGCAGCAGTCCAGAGCTCCAGCCACAAAACATGCCTACAAATGGGGGCGAGGCGGGGGGGGGGGGGGGGATGCAAGAGAAGAGCTACTCTTCCTCAACACTCTAGGATCCTGTGTCACTCACTTTTGCTCCAGCTTCACTAGGAGGAAAACATCTGATTTTTCACTTGTACTAACCTGAAGCCTCCCATCCAGCGTTCTCTGTATTGTAACACACTTGCTAGGATGAGCTCCATTTGTGGTTATAGCTGTAATCAAAGAATCCAATTCATCTTTTTTCTCCTTTAGCTTTTTAACTAAACTTTCAATTGCGCGTTTTGCAAAAGTTTCACTCTCTCCACCTTGTCGATGGCACATCAAGCTGTGAACAATGCTCAGACAAGCATCATTACTTGTTGGCGTGTTAGTAATAGACATATTGTCCATTTGTCACAGCTTTTTCTTTCAGATCAAATGTCAGTTTTGGGGGCTGTTATGATTTTCAAGCTGATGAACAAGAGATGATCCAAGTTAAGTGTTAGATGTACTGTCTCTTGGTAAAACCTAGGAGGAAAAAATATCTACATTAGAATTGTTTTTAACAAATTGCAGATCATGTTTCTAAGGAAGTCTGTGGCTTTTTTGCTTCTTTTATTTTCAAGCTAAGTGCAGGATATTAAAAGCACATGAAAAAACTGCATTGCTTGTCCCGTGATAGCTAAAACATGCTTAAGACACTGCTTGCACAGTTTTAGATATAAGATTTTTTTGTTTCCCCTAGTAACAATATTTAAATAAAGATTATAGTTTATATACATGTACACATAGTATGTACATATAGAAAGGTAGGGATTGTTAGATGAACAGGCTCTGAATCGGGAAAAGGAGAACGGTGACGATGATTACCTATGTTTTATACTGGTAGGATGAAACCAAGTGCAAATACTGACTGGGAATCAAGGGACATTGATTTAAACAAAATTTGAATAGTGAAGAAGCATGAATGCACACCAGAATCATCTGTCATCTTTATTTAATAAGTCTGTTCAAATAGTTCAGCCATGTTCTGACCTCAGACTAACTCTATTTCTCTTTGCTAATCAGAAAGGCAAAAATTGTATCTGGTCATAAGCTTAATACACATTTATGTAAATTAGTATTGGGTGTATCTTTATACATGAAAATCCCAGCTGGCACATTTGTCTTTACTCGTTTGGATCCAGCTTCTTCTGGATCAAGAGAAATCAACTGAAGGCACTAAAAAAAGCACTTCTAAATTGTCTCAAACAGAACAGCCTTAATTACACTAAATTTAAGATAAGGAATGAGTCCATCCTAACACATTTGGCCTTTAAATTCCATCTGTTAAGAACCCACAGCGGTTTCTGGTCATGAAGTCATTCTTCTCAAAGCCAGCAGACCTCATCCTTTTTTAAGTTTCCTTTTATTCACAAATTAGAAGAAGAGCTGGCCTGATCTTCTCAATTGTGAATGAGCTAATTACTACGTTCTATCTTGCTTTATCCAGAAACACAGGACGGCAGGTTTTGTGCGCTCACGGAAAAGGACGTTAATGTTGTCAAAAAGCTGCTTTGGTTCTTCAAGCACCTCTGGCTTCAGGTTGTCATCTACTAACACCATTCTACCAACTCTTGGTTAGACTTTAAGACACTGGCAGCAAATACACGGTTTTTTACTACATTTACATGAGTAAGCTTAAAGTATAAGCCTTTTTGAAACTAATGTGTTGTTCTCAGCAATGTAAATAAAATATATTTGGATTTAATAGTTAAGGGAAAAAGTTTGGTTGTACTATCTGAGGAACATATCCAGTCAAAGACCTGTTACTGCACTGGAATTTTCCATGTTATCAGAGGTAGTAGCAGCTCTTTATTGGAAACAAATGTGTTGCACAAAAAAATAAGAGTGTTAGTTTAGAAAGTTAACGCATCACACAAATTACAGTGTGAATGCCTGGTTTCCCTTCTCGTAAAAGGAATACTGCAATGCAAATCCAGCACAATTCAAAAAAGGAAACAAAGTCTTCCCTATTTAGTATTTTCTCCAGTTTCAACTTGAGTACAGCATGCTTTGGTATACTTGGAAAAAACACATCATAAATCCTTCCCCCCCTCCATTTTCAATAGTTTTCTTCTTTTGTAAGGATGCTTTTGGACCTAATTTCTCCCAAAGGAAAACAATTACCTAAAAGTTTGAGTAAGATCATTTTACCTAGCTATTAAAGTTTCTCCCTCAACGCCGGGGTTTTTTGCGCTTCAACTCAATAAGCCTCTTTTTAAAAGTCAAGCTTAACCTGCCAGTAATTCTCCATGGCAACCCGCACTCGCATAAATCCATAAAAGCTTGCCAGCTAAAACAGAATAGAACATCATTTTCCTTAAATATAAAACAGCATCCCAGATAGATATGCATAAGTAATCATAAATAAGTGACTAGATAAAGCTATTAGCCAAAAGAGCTTTAAATAAAGAGATGCTTAAAATTAGACACGCAGCTCTATCTTCCACACTCTTAAAACTATGAATGAGTTTTGCTTGCTGACTTTCAGAAGATTGAGATGAAGCAAATAAATCCTTATAATAAGTGGAATGATCTTCAGAAATGTTGAGTCACCCCTCAGCTGCCACTGCACTCAACAGGAGCTTCTGACTGTTCAGCACTTTCGAAAGCCGGGCCACTTGTTTAGAATTTTGAATACTGTTACACACTGCTGGTGCGGAATCGCACGGTAATTCAGGAGCCTTCCTTTACAAGTCCCATCTACACATATCCTGTATTTAATCTTGCAATTTCTAGCCCCAGAAAAAGGGGGTGAGGTCAGTGGCAATCAACCTGGCACATATTGATAAACGCCGTGACATATTTCTTCTGAAGCACCAGAAGCATTAGTATATTTTGCAGACGAGCCAAGTTTTCACGTTCCACAGATTTTGTTTTTCATGAAATAGCTCTACAAGCCTATCTTTGACTAAGTCACACATTCAAGAGGTGCCTCGACACCTTCTTACTATATTACTTTCATGTGTGCAAATAAAAGCAAAATGCAGTCTTAATGCGTGTTATTTTTAGAAGATAGCCTTTGAAGATAAGGTTCCAGTATGCCTTCAGACATGGAGCGCTAGATGTTCTGCAAAACAACAGTACGCTTGTGTGATTTAACGCTTATTTGATGTGAGCGTGAAACTTCAAATTCGTTCCTCGGCACCCCCCCACCCAAGAAGGTGATCCCACACTACAGCTCAAGCTTAGATTTACAGTCAACAGGGAAGGCCAAATATATTGAGCAAAGATCATATTTCCCTCTACTCAGGAATTTCATGAAAACAGCAATGGGTGAGAGAGTTCTTTGGGGAAAAAAGGGGCAGAGAGAAGAGACAGGGAACACGAGAAAAGCAGCAGCAGGAGACAGTGCTTGTAATGAAGCTCTCGGCTTCGCCTACCGAGGAACAAAAAGGTATTTCTCTGCCTTTTGGGTGATGAGAGCGGAACACAGAAGGGGAAGGAAAAAAAAAAAAGGGACGAGCTAAGGTAAAATGCTAACAACTTACGCAGTTATAGAGAAGTACCTCGTTGTGTTATAGAGAGTCATTCATTTCAATAACTAAGTATTAGCAGGTCTGTTTCAAAACAAGTGAACAACAACTAGCATTCTGTGACAGTCTAAGTATTGGAACAAGAGTAAGATCCCCTGGAGAGGAGATAAATCTGAAAGACAAAGGAAGTTAAGACTGCCAGGTAATTAAAAACACCTTTGATGATCTGTAGCAAACAAGCTACTATCTCAGAGAACTGATAAGCAACCATTAACTGAAACTCTTCCCTCAAGACTGATGCAGACTTGAACAAATATCATCATTCTTCCATACATCCTACTTCCCCACGGCTGCCTTGCTGAAGGGTGATGGATCTTCTTAGCCCGTGCAATGAAATTCAAAACATGAAGCAGCTGTCTAAAATTAAAAACGCGACACTGGTGCCACATGCCTCATTTTCATGTCTGTGGATAATTCTGCCAGAAAGGGTTACCTGAACAATATAAATAGATTCTAAAAACACAAGCAACTATAACAGTATACTACCTATAACTAAAATCAAATATATTATTGACTTCTCTACGTGGAAGTAACATTACTGAGCTCTCTCACTGGTGCCCTCATCACGCTTACATTTACCTTACGGGCAGGAAAGCAAAATAAGCACCGTACCGACTCAAACTATTCCGCTGTTCCCAGATCGACCGCTACATTCTCTCTCGCAAAACAGCGATCATTTTACTAGCGTGACTAGAAAACGGGAGACCAGGTTTAATGTTCAGCATCTTCTGCAAAAGCTATGAAAAGCCAGAGCTAGCTCAGAGCTCCGAGGAGAGCATTCCCATTTGTGGAAGAGCAAGGTGCTCCTCATCAACCAGACAAAACTCAGCAAAGCACAAAAAGCAGATGAGATCTCACCCAAAGGAATAATAAATGCATTGATGGAACAGCAAATTAATATTCCACTTTGTTTGCCAGTGTCTCTTCAGCTGCACCAGCAAGATAATATTATAAGCTAGCACGGCTTAAGAACAAGTGCTTTTACATGCCAAAAACCAAGGGTAACAAAACCAGCGTGAGCCATGGCTTCCAAATACTTGCAGCAACTGTTTAGGCAGCACACTAGGTACTTAAGAGATACGATAATTTGGAAGGGCTCACTCAAGGCCCCAGAGTTGCTGAGGTATATTTCGGTTTGAAATTCTTCATTGAAAAAAAGCATGCAGATGCATACAGATGTAGGCAGACAGACACACACGGTCTGAAGAAGGTACAAGGGTTTTTGAAAGAGAAAAAAGTTTTTGCTGCTTTTCACGGTTAGAAAAAGCACACGGACTTGATTTCCCTGCTTTTACAGAGGTATTACTACAGTCGTACAGAAGCTCCACTGAGACGCAAGGCCAGGGGCTGCTAAAAAAATACAAAGGCTTCCCTTAAACTCCCATCAAGGTGCCCTAGCTATTCAGCCAAGCAAATTTTGAAACTTATCTGAAAAATCCCATCCTCCAAACATCTCCCATTTCCAATACTCTAATGCAGCTGAAATTTGCTGAGAAGTTACAAATCCAGACTTCTTAAAAAGAACTCACATTTTTCTCTCCATATTAAGAACAACCTTAAATGAATACTTTTTACACTCACGAGTCGCTTATCTTCCCCCTCTCCTCCCACAAAAGCCACACTTTGCAATTTGGGGAGGAAGATCAACCCCAAACAAGAAAAGGAAATAATACGCTTACGTAGATAAACCGGGCGGTTATGGATGGAGCTGGAAGTCAGGGACGTAACCCAAAGGAATATGATCCAGGCAATCAGCAATCCAACAGCTTGGGCAAGACGGTTAATCCAAGCGCGACGCTGATATGATACACTACCCTATTCATTTACAGTAGGGTTTAAGCCAATCGCAGCTGCGGAGGGATCAAATTCACCAAGAAACTCGGTCTAAAAATGTGACAGTCCAAATGCCACCGGATAATTACTTTAAGATATGGGCAAAAGGCCAAAACCTCCTT